GGAAATACTCGCAGACGTAAACCGGGCCATGGGCGTCGGACGTCGACGAGCGCCCCGCCGCCGAAACACTGGGGTCCTGCAGGCGCAGGCTCGCATGTCGGAGCTGGAACACACGAAGAGAGAGAGGCCATGGTCAGAGCGATGAAGCGCAAAGATCTACTGACCGCCGGTGAGCATCTGGTACCGGACTCTGTCGGCCGCATAAAGCGCAGGAATTCGGATGAACGGATCAGCGCTTCCGCACCTCCCAGCGAGAACGACGACCGAGATGCACTTGTATACATACATCACGTTCGCCCGCAGGACACGCTGGCGGGACTGAGCATCAAATACAACTGCGAGCAAGCTGTGCTACGGAAGGCCAATCGTATGTGGCCGAACGATAGTGTACAGATCAAGAAGCAAGTCGTCCTGCCAGTAGATGCGTGTGGCGTAAAAGGGAAACGAGTCCAAGGCCCGGATGCTCTCCCTGCCGAAGATCTATTACTGGGAGAGTACGGCGAAGATTCGAATAGCAAGGCTCCACTTTCAGATACTCAAGGTCTCCCTAACGGCTGGACCACGCCAAAGAAGAAAGACCAAGAGAACGACTCCGTCCCCTCATCTGACCCAGAGCCACCATGGACACATGATTCATGGGTTCTTCTGCCTAATGACAAACAGCCCACACAGATTGGCCGCATGCCACGAAGAGCGCTTGGCTTCTTCCCACCCGCTCGACGAAAGTCTCTCGCGTACTCCGACGCCTCGACCCCCCGGGCTTCCGTCGACCTTCCACGCTCGTCCACCTCCACAAATCCGCTCACTAGCTCTCCCTCGCAATCCGTTCGACCGCGCGCGTCAAGCAACCTGTCATCCGCCTCAGCCCACAGTCGTCAAAGAAGTACATCAGGCAAAGCATGGGGTCTGCAAGGCCCAGGGGGTGTCGGTACAATGGGCAGGAATGTGCGAAGCCCTGGGCCTGCGCAGGATGGTCTGAACAAGAAATTCGCTCAGTACTTGCCCAATATGGCTCCTCCACCAGGACAGGAATACTTCACACCGTGGGCGCCGGGTTTGCTGGACGCAGGTGCAGGAACATCAAGTCAGTATGGCGGATCCGGTGCTGTCACTCCGCTCAGCGGCAGCGGCCTGGATTTCCAAGAGCTTGGGGGTGCTATAGAAGGATGGGTAAGGAAGGTCGGTACACAAGCACAGAAGCTTTTGAATGAGCCGGGCACACCTGGACAGGGGAAACGCAGTGCCGTACCTGTCCTGGGAGCTGTCGGCGGTGATCTGGGCGACCTCATAGAACTCCAAGATGATGCCTTTGAGATTGGAGATGACGAAAGGGACAGGGGCAGATCGAGGGCAGAGGAGACGCTTGCGTCGACCAATGAGCGCTCAGTATCGAGACCAGCACAGCAGTATCAGTCAGCACGACCAGACATCAATCTTGTCCTGAGAGATAGGACGCGAAAAGGGGAAGGCAGCAAGAAGGATTAGACAGCATTGTGTGAATAAGGTGTAAAGGTCTTGGTAGCAACACGTGCATAGCATGTTGGCTTGCTTTGGGCATCGAAGCGTTTGGCATTTCAGGGCATTTGCAATATATCATTCACAACCCCACGTCCATGTTCCCAAATTCTGGTGGCTTGCTCCTTATGCCCGGTTTTTGCTGATGATGTTGGTTGCGAAGACAGTTCGGAAGAACTACAACAAAGCTCTTCGTCGGGTCGCCGAAGGCCGTGCACCTCCACATTGGATCCGGACTAGACAGGCGGTGACTTATCGCGCCACTGTCGCTGTGAGGGCCGATTCCCATTATCTACTCGAATTGCGAGAGCGATATATCTAGATGTCCGCCAGAAGCGCATTAGGCAGGTGGTCATCTGCTCTGCTGCGGCATAGATCGGCATATGAAGCTGCTCCACTCCGACGATACCTCCAAACCACGCGATCACCTGCAACGTTTCTCTCCCATGACGACCGTCTTTCACCAACATCAACCTTGACTGGAAAACATCATATCAAGCAACATTCAAGGATAGGCCGACCTCTCACACCTTCAGCTACGAGAACAGCCGCATTCGCCACGATGCATCGCTCCCCCGCCGCCATGTTAACTAAACCGATGGCGGACCCAAACATCGAGATCCGCACTCCCAGGGATCCCAACACCTTGTCCAACTATCACAACTTTGTGACACGGCACACTAGTGTAGACTTCGATATCGACTTCCAGAAGAAGAGGTTATTTGGAAGTGTGCTGCTGACGTTGGAGTGCTTGACGGATGAGGATGTGAAAGATGTTGTGTTGGACAGCAGGTATGTACACATTGTCTGCAAGACTGAATCGTTGGAATGCTTTACTAAACAAATCTAGCTTTCTTGATATCTCCGTTGTAGAAGTCGAGGGCAAAAGCGTCAAGTTCAACGTAGGAGATCGCGTGGAACCTTATGGCAGCCCTCTTACCATCACTCTTCCTTCCAAGGTTCCCAAAGGCAAGACTGTTGATGTAGAGATCAAGGTCGCAACCACTGATAAGTGTACCGCGCTTCAGTGGATGACTCCTGCTCAGACCTCCAACAAGAAGCACCCCTACATGTTCTCGCAATGCCAGGCCATCCACGCACGTTCAGTCTTCCCTTGTCAAGACACTCCAGATGTCAAATCGACATTCAGCTTTGCTCTCCGCTCGCCCCTGCCGGTGCTTGCTTCAGGTCTGCCTACCGGGGCAAGTGACTACCTGCCCCCGAAGAAGGATGGTGAGAGCGGTACCATGAAGTACACATTTGAGCAAAAGGTCCCCATGACTGTCTACCTCTTTGCTGTCGCGAGTGGAGATCTAGCGTGCGCAAGCATCGGCCCCCGCAGTACGGTATGGTCTGGTCCTGAAGAGCTCCTTGCATGCAAAGACGAGCTTGACGGCGAAATCGAGCCTTTCATGAAAGCACTCGAATCCATCGTCTCGCCCGCCTACCAGTGGGGACAGTACAATGTGCTCATCCTGCCTCCTTCATTCCCGTACGGCGGTATGGAGAATCCGGTTTGGACTTACGCCACTCCCTCTATTATCTCTGGCGACAAGCAAAACGTCGACGTCATCGCACATGAGCTGTCACATTCATGGTCCGGCAACCTGGTTAGCGCAGCAAGCTGGGAGCACTTTTGGTTGAACGAAGGCTGGACAACGTATCTGGAACGCAGGATCGCTGCTGCTCTTCATGGAGAGGCACATCGCCACTTCTCTGCCATCATTGGTTGGAAAGCTCTGGAGCAAAGCATCGAGAACTACGGCGAAGACCACCCCTACACTAAACTTGTTCTCGATCTCAAGGGCCAAGATCCTGATGACGCCTTCTCTTCCATTCCGTACGAGAAAGGTTTCCACGCCCTGTACCAATTTGAGCTGCTTCTCGGAAAGAAGAAGTGGGATTCTTTCATCCCCCATTACTTCGACACTTTCAAGTTCAAGTCCGTTGACTCATACGACTTTAAGAGTTGCCTCCTAGAGTTCTTCGAGAAAGACGCAGAGAGCAAGCAGAAGCTGGACAACTTCGACTGGGACAAACTGTTCTATGCACCGGGATTCCCTGTCAAGCCAGACTTTGACCAGACTATGGTAAAGAGCTGCTACGAACTCGCAGACAAATGGCAGGCTTTGATATCCTCCGAATCCAACGACTTTAAGCCCCAAGCCTCTGACATCGAAGGCTGGGTGTCAAACCAGTCCGTGGTCTTCCTCGAGAAGCTTCAATCTTTCGCTTCGAAATTCTCAGCCGACAAAGTACACCTGCTCGGTGCGACTTATGGCTACAACGACACTCAGAACATTGAGGTTCTGTCTCGCTACCTCAACATCGGGCTCATGGCCAAGGCACAGGAGACTTACGAGCCTGCAGCAACATTGTTGGGCAAGATTGGGCGTATGAAGTTTGTCCGGCCCATGTTCAGGCTCTTGAATGAGGCGGATCGCGACTTGGCGGTCAGCACGTTTGAGAAGAACAAGGACTTTTACCATCCGATCTGTAGGCAGATGGTAGAGAAGGATCTTTTTGGAGAGGAGAAGAAGTAGAGACGGGTGCAATCATCAAGAAGTAAAAAATAGCTACAGTGATTTAAATATATGTAAAGGCTACATATGAAAATTGAACAAGTGCAAATGAAAGTAAATTTGTTATTGACTTGTGGTGTCGCTATGTATCTCATGCCAAGAAGTCTATCGACATCGGCACACCAACAGCTCGTGACTATCACACTTCCATCACTTCCAGCCGTCGGAGCAAACACCGAAACAGAACATCAGAACTTCGGCCTTGCATCACCGAGACCGGCCTACCTCACCCCGTCACCATCTCGCGTCGAGGCAACCTGTCATTCATACCCCACCGGCATACCGCATCCGGCACTCCCGATCCCCGCATCCCGCAATCCAGATTCTAGCTCACATCCTCTGCGGCGTCACGGCGTCTGTTTAACCCCTCATTCAACCGAACCGCCGACCCAGCGCCCCCTGCCTTTGCCAACCACTGTCGCGAATCGTATATAACACGTTTCCTCCTCCCGGCCGCCGAAAATGGCCCCTCCCAAGCGCGCTTTGTTCTCTCTAAACCTCGATACCGACGCCGACCACGTGTACCAGAAAGTCGAAGACCACAGTAAAGACGGGACAGATAGAGTTAAAGTCATTGAAAGCAAAGGGCCGACACACGGACATACGGATCTGAGCTACGTGACGAAACCGTTTGAGAAGACAGTCAATCGCGCGGTCAACGAGGTCATTGAAGGAAGCGGACGCGAAGTACACTCCGCAGAGGGTCACGTATCGTATTCGACAAACAGAACGGAACGACGAAGTGGCGGAACAAGAAACCAGGACGACGAAGAAGAACGCGATCGAAGCCGCTTGAACGTTGTTAGCAAAACGAAAAGAAGGAACATCGAGAAGAAGTACGATACTTCTGAACTTTAAGAACTTCCCTACACCCACGCAACGCGTACTATATCAGCACCCACCATGTCATCGGACCAGCAACCCCTCCGCATAGCCATCGGCTGCGACGACGCGGGCGTTTCGTACAAGAAAGCCATCATCAAAGACCTCGAAGCCGACTCGCGCATCGCCTCCGTGACCGACGTTGGCGTACCTGAAAACAGCGACAAAACCGCATACCCGCACATCGCCGTCGATGCCGCCAAGCTCGTCGCAGAAGGCAAGGCAGACCGCGCAGTTCTCATCTGCGGTACCGGTCTCGGTGTCGCTATCTCTGCGAACAAGGTGCCTGGTATCAGGGCTGTAACGGCACATGACTCCTTCTCGGTGGAGCGCGCCATCTTGTCGAATGATGCGCAGGTACTGTGTATGGGCGAGAGGGTTATTGGCATCGAACTTGCGAGGCGGTTGGTGAAGGAGTGGGTAGGATATCGATTTGACAAGGGCAGTGCGAGTGCGAAGAAGGTACAAGCTATCATGGACTATGAGAAGCAGAACTACGCGGGGTTGGTCAAGGATCAAGCCGACGCGAAGGGCTGTTAGGGTATTCATGGATAGTTCATTTTTTGTTGTAGAATATCATTGTTGATGTCACGCTCGATGTTATACTCTTCTTATGCATGGCGAGTCCTCTCATGCAATAGCACCCATCCGCCCTCTAATGATCCGGCGTACCAAACTCCCAAATATCCTTCTCATACCCCTCTGTCAAATCCTTGTCCTGCCCATACTTCTCCTGCCACATCGTGAACCCTCCCTGAAGCACATAGACCTTTTGCTTCTTGACCTGTGTCCCGCTAGGTCCTTTTTCTCCTCCCTCCTTATCCACGGCTTCACTCTGCTCCTCAACCTCGCCCTTTGATTCCACCTTCGAGGCCGGGTCCAATCTCTCCTTCTCTCTCAGATATTTCAATGCCGCACTGGGACCCCGTTGCTGCGATAACGCGCAGTGGAAGATGACGACTTCCTTGTCTTGTAGTGTGCGGATGAGCTCGGGAGTTTTGTAATCGAGTTGCGATGAGGGGACCCATGTTGAGCCTTTGATGTGACCGCCGACGTGGTCGCTGTCTCGCACCTAGATTGGGGGCACATGGTCAGCCTTGTGTATATCAGGGAAAGATTTGTGTTGAATGGGTCGTCTTACGTCGATGATTGCAGTGTTTTCCGGCAGCGATTTGCCAGAGGATTTGAAGTCGCTGGCGAGAGACTCGCGAGTCACGAATTCGAGATCCGAAAGGGATATCGTCGACATTGTGCGGGCGGATGTGTGAGGTAATCGGCGGAGGAGAAATGCTCGTGCTTGGATCGCAGCAGGATGCTGATGGCACGATCTCGCTGCGCGGAGAAACTTGAGAGAATGCAGCGTGGAAGTTGTAAAGGAGCGGACGATTGTCAAGGGCGGGACGTGTACCCGAGTTGCAGAGCGTAGAATGCGTGAAAGTGAGTTGGAGGGTTGGTGGGGTACGCGTGGGGAGCTACGTCGCGTAGACACGTGTGTGCTCCACCCAATGGCCAGCTGCAAGTGACATGCTTGGTTATGATGGCATACGCTCTAGACCTCCATGTGGTTTTGCCGTAGCACGTCAAAAGCTTGGAAATGTCGTGATATCGTCCGGGCATGTACAGGCGCACACTTTGACCATTGCAGTGCAGATAACAACAGTTTGTATTAATACAAGACGCGAGATGAATAACCGCCATCGCTATCAGAACCAATCGTGACTATGCTACATGCCAAAGAAAACGCCGAACCACCCAACAGTCATCCTGTGGTCTTATCTCAGAGCTTAATCGTGCTTCGCGCCTCCAAAGTTGCCGTTACCCATGCCGCCCAGTAAGCCATCTTTCTCTCCCAGCTGGAAGTATGCGCCGGTATTTCCAAACCTTCTCTTCCGCCTGCTGTTGCCGAATAGTGTCGCAGCAGTGAAGAAACCGACGAACATGCCGAGCGAGATGAAGGGATGGTTGTTGATAAAGTGACGAGTGGAGAGGTACATGCCAGTAATGCGACCAGTGGTAGATTTGGCGGCAATCTTGGGCGGGTTCGAGGTAACCATCTTGATGGTTTCAAGGATTGCGGCGCGAGAGAGGCGGATAGGTTCGCCAGATACGGTGCTATCCCAGTAGCGACGGTTCTATGTGTGTTAGCAAGATACATGTGAGCGAATCCAAGTGACTTACATCTTCATCGTTGATGATGACGCTCTCGCCATCCTTGACATCGACACCGTATGTGGTCCGGATCCAGCGTTCCCAGAAAATACCGTCAACCCATGCGAATGCGACTTGAGTGCGCTGGATATCATCCATGTTGATTCGGATGGATTTTGCATCTCTGAGTGCTCGCTGGTTGTCCTTGTCCTCGGCTTCTTCAATGCGCAATTGCTTCGCATCGCGAAGCTCCTGTCGCTCAAGCTGGTAGGCAGTGTCCTGCTTGTCAATCCACTCAAGAGCCGCGCTCTTCAACTCACGCTTAGAGAGGATGAACTCGTCGGAACGGTCGCGGTTCAGTATACCAAGAACAACGAATTTACCGTCCATGATCTCGCGAGCATTGGTAGATGTCATCTCGGGGACGATGGGCAACCAAACAGACTTCATCCAGGTGAGGACCTTCTTGACGTCGCGCATCTCGAATGGTGTCCTAGGTGGGTAGTACGTAGGCTTTCCATCTCTTGAGACCATCAACCTTGGCCAGGTGGAGATCTTGAAACGGTCAAAGAGCTCCTTGTCATTTGTCTTGACCAACTTTGCGCGGCCTACAAGGCTGAGAGGAAGCCGCTCGAGCGCCTGAAAGTCCTCCGAGGTGGTTGCGTGGTCGTAGAAGTAAGTGAAGATGACTTCTTCCGTCTCCTCCATCTTCTTGAACTCTTCAGCGTTCACATCAGGCACGCCAGAACCGATCGCCGAGGCCTTCTCCGCGTAGTCAAGCAGATCACCAAGTCCACGGAGACCACCGTACTCAATGCGCTCGCCACCTTGGAAGAAGAGCATAGTCGGGTAGCCTCGAACACGGGCTTCCTTGCACAACTTCCTCTCCACATCGCAGTCAACCTCGCCAATGTTGAGCTTGCCCTTCATCTGTCGCGCAAGGTTCGCCCACGTCGGCGCAAGAGCCTGGCAGTGGTGGCACCATGGCGCGTAGAACTTGACAAACCAGGGATCGCGTGTATTTGTAACGAGCTTCTCGAATGTTTCGGCGGTAAGGTGCTCGACGATGCCGGATGGGTTCGCATTCGAGGTCGGCTCAACCTTTGCAGGCGCAGCCTTGGTCGTTTGCGAAGCTGAAGGTGTGGCGCCGGCGGCCAGGTTGGTGGCTGGGCTCGCTGCCTTCTTGTCCTGGGCTTCCGACTTCTTCTCTTCCTTGACAGCCTCCTCCGTTTCCGGGCCAGTTTCTACAGATGTTGCGCCGACTTTGGGGAGCTTGGGACCACCCTCCTTGCGTGTACCCGGTCGGAGAGTCTCCAGAAGTCGCTCTACCCAGGAACTCATGCCCTTCATGTCCTTGGAGCCTGTCTCTCTTTCCGTCTCTTTGCCGTCCTGGAAGTAGATCATGGTCGGATAGCTCTGGATATTGTGCTTCTTGCAGATATCGGCGTATGCGACGCAGTCGACCTTGGCAAACTTGAAGTCATAGTATCGGGTGAATGAGTTCAGGGAGTCGCCTTCGGGCTCGTCTTTTGAGAGAAAGGGTTTCGAGGTGTAGTAGAATTCGTAGATGGTCTGGTAGGTGGGCTTGAAGTGCATGCAATGGCTGCAGTAGGGCGAGAAGAACTCTACTATCCTGCAGAATGTCAGTATACCGTGAATGATCGACAGCTGTCTCCATACCAGTTGCCTTTGCTGATCTCGGTGTCTATGGTGGCAGGCCCAAGTTCTATCATGGGCGGCACCGTCTCGCCGTTGAATATTGTGTCTGGCGTCTTGTCGTCCCAGTCATCCTTCTTGGCGGTCGCCTGGGCACTCGACGTGTCGGCCGCAAGTGTGGAAGCAAACGTCGCCAGCGACAGGAGGGAATATAATATAGAGCGCATCGCGGCGATGGCTGAGGGGCGGGCTGCTCGTGTGAGGCAGCGGTCCACACGCGAGGGGACAAGTAAGTTGTTGCGTATCGAGGGCGCGATTGGTAGGGATTGTAGGGATTACAGCGAGCCTGTGTATCACGCAGGCGTGGCGGAGGGGACGTCGCGCGTGAATGAGGGTAATCGTGTCTCCAGGGCGCATTGTCCCTGAGCCATGGGACGCTTACTAGCCAGGGCCCGCCGCTCCGGCTGCATATCGCTTGGCGGGCGCATCTTCGTCCTGACGGCATCACCACTGCGAAGCACCAATTGCGCCCCCGCCCCACCTCGCACACTCCCGCCAACATGAGGGCAGCTGCACGTCTCCTCGCCAGCGTCAAGCCCGGCCAGTTCCTCGAGGCCGGCACGCCGACAGGTCTCACAGGCCTGCTCACCCACCCGTCGCCGCGCTCCACCCTCCTCTACCACTACCACTCCACCCTCGACAAGCTGAAGAAGATTCCCGAATCCTCCGTGTACCGCCAATCGACCGAAGCTCTCACCAAGCACCGCCTAGCCGTCATCGAGCAAGCTACGCCAGCAGGATGGGATGAGTGGCAGCAAAAGGTCGCGCAGCAAGTCAGCCAGGACCCGACAAGATATCAGGCCATCGATACAACAGGCGGACAGACCATTATACTCCCAACCCAGCACGAGGTTGATGAGCGGTCAAAGGCTGCTGAGTGGGACGGTGAGGCCGTGGAGACCTTCCCCGAGGGCATTCGGTCGTCCAAAGAGCGCTTGCCCCATGCCAAAAAGATGAAGGGCGATGTCAACTACACGCCCGAGCGGGCAGTCGCCGACGTCAAGTTCGACCCTGAGCCGCAATACACCGCCGAAGCGTATGTCATACATGAGCCGTAACCAATAATGCATCCATAGCTGACTTGTGCAGTATCTCGGAACTTGAGAGCAGAATTGGCGCAGGATTGATTGAAGAAGTCATCCAGGTTGCTGAGGGCGAACATAAGCTTGTAGACGTCATGGTCGAGGCCAAGGTGTAAGTAGACTTCTTCCTGACTACTCATACCACAGCTAACCCGCCACAGTTGGGAGCCACTCGAGGAGCCGGCGCCAGAAGGCCAATGGTCTTACTTCGAGCGTATGACACACACAAAGACCCAGAAGCCATAGAGCCGCGTGTTTCGACCAAGGACATAGATAGTAGAAGAAGAAACATCACATTTTGTAGATGAAGTTACAACCACCTTCTACACGAGACATGTACATGTGTTTCCGCCCGTGACCCATGCTTTCAATCAAGCCCCGTCTCCCTCTCCATCCGCTTTCTCCTTCAAAGCCTCTGTCCTCAATTGGTTTCGTTTCACCAAAATCCTCAAAGTGTTCTGCTTTTCGATGTCCGCCATCTGCTCCCAATTTGCGATGCGCGACAATGTGCCATCCTTGTTCACTACCAGAGGGCCCAGATGATCCAGCTTGACCGCTTGCCCACCGACGTTGATCTGCGTGGTACCCTCGTCA